TCATTAGAATATATAGGGTTTGGGGCGCTGGGGAAATTTAAATTTGCATTAAAGTGATGCATGTAGGAAATGGTTATTGGAATTATTATCCGGTTGAATGACTCATCCTCCACACCATTTATGATTTTCATTGTTACTTGGTGGCTTGAAAAATTTTGCCTACTAATACCTTTCGTTTCTTGTTGTTAGAAAATTATACATGTAGAATTAAAACAATATTTTCTAACACCCATGATTGGTAATAGATATTTAAACATATTCTGAACAGCTAAATAGTCAGAAAAAAAATTGGATTTGAAATTTCTTCATTCTCACCTATAACAAATACATATCATTTTTCTTTCTTCGATATTGCATATATATATATAATATAGAGTATTGAAGCGCTTAAAAATTTGGTTCGTTAATTATTCAATTCTTTTGAAAGTCTTATAAATAGAATAGAAAATGATTTAGAAGAACCTTCTAGATATGCTGGCATAAATTAGAGCATAGAACTGCCTAATAAATTTAAATAAATCTGCCAAATTTAAGACAAGCAACGTAGAATTCATCCAAAATTGTGCCAAGAACCGATGCTAAATAAATATTTTAATCACAAGATAATGTTAATCGAACATTTTTTAAGAAATTTTATATAAGTGAGTGATTAAATAATAGACAGTTTAACAAATAAGTACCTTAAAAGTATCTTAGATAATATGTCCATAATTAAATCTATCTATGCTTATAGAGGATTTTGTAAAAATATGACTGTAGGCAGAGCTGTATAGTAATAAATAGTTTTATAAGCAGATGACGTCACTGTTACTAGCTACGATCAACTAAAATTGAATAGGGAATTTACATTAGCTTTGAGTTAATCGATTTCATTTTTAATATAATGAAGGACAACTAATTCTTTAATATGCATAACATAAATTTACTGAAATTATTGCGACATCTAAATTACAAATACATGTAATGTTTAGTTGATTTCAATAAATAATATTTCAACTGCAATCAATAACTTTAACTAAATAATAACATTACCATTATTATAATGAAATTAATAATGTAATTGAATTTACACAGCTCTGGATGTAGGTTAGGTTAGACTAGGTTACTATAACAGTCAGTCTAAATGACCCTATTGAGTTCATTGTGATACTAGTTTCTTAATAAAATTGGATATATCTGATTATATATCAAAGTATATTGTCAGTGGTAAACCAAAGATTTTACTAAGGTGGAGATGTACTAGAAAATAGATTTGGTAGAAGTTCACAATATTAATGATGGTGCCAAGAAGGATGTTATATACTAGAAAATATTTTTGGTCAAATTTTTTTTACAAAGCTATCTAAACTAATTATAATAATAGTTAAAGTATTGTGCCCAGGAGAGGGGACATATACTTGATAATATCATTGGTCAAACTTTTTTTGATAGTTCGCTAAATTAATTATACTGAGCGCTTACTATAGTTTTATTATGTATATTTTTATCAAGAGCCATTATTTTTATTTGTGATATGTTCAACAACTTCTCTTAAGTACAATCATTATTTAAAAACTTAAAGCAACTCTTCTATTCTTTCTTTCGCCATAGGTTCCATAGTTCTCCTATGTTGCTAACGTTTCAATATCAAAATTTATATCTAATATTTGTAGTAATACATAAACACAAAAATATATCAGAATTTTGTGACTTTCATTATTTCAGAATTATATTCTAAAGAAATCCATATCTATAGCAATCCATATTCTTATATGCAATATTTTCAACAACTTTACTTAAGTACTGTCTTTATTTAGAAAGTAGACCAACTCTTCTAACTTATCTTTTGCCATAAGTTTCAAGGTTCTCCTATGTTTCTAAAGTTTCAATATCAAAATTCTATCTAATATTAGTAGCATTACAATATTACAACAGAGGCCTGCATAATATTTTGAGAATTTTGTGACCGCATAGAATTTCAAATATAGAACTATTTTAACGAACAAACCAAGAAGAAAGATAACAACAATCAATTAAGCGTCGAAAATATAATCGACTTGGCCACACTTTTCGAAAGACGTATGACAAAATATGCCACGAAATTCCCAAGGCAACAGATACAGAAGAACAATATGTAGCAGCTGGAGAAGTACGATAACAAAGTACGTTATATTGCTGGAGATAGAAATAGTTGGAGTTTCTATGTAAGAATTCTATGCTCCGAATGGAGTACAACTAATAATACAATAATATTAATACGAATATAGAAATACAAAAATATATCATAATTTTTAAGTTTTTATTATCTGTGGATAATATCTACAAGAGGTCCGCATCTATCCCCTTAATCCCTCGACAAATTCCCCACTGTCTATTGCTTTGAAATCAACGAAACCAATTTAAAATTTAATTTAATTAATTGTTGCTTAACATTTTTAAACACCCAAGGTTTTTTGAAAGGCCTTTTAAAATAAATTTTTAGATTTTCTTTTAATGAATTGCAAAAAAAAAAAAAAAACAATACACGAATACCATATAAAACTCACATATGTGTACTCGTTGATGCTACCGCATGAGTATCTTTTGTCAGTGACTTGTCTAGTCTGATGCCTAATGATAATTGCCAAATCTGTCTATATATAGCTGAAGAATATATCTATGTCTGTATAGACATAGACGTATATAGGGGAATACTACTACGAAATTGTGTTGGAACACATTTTAAAAATTACATGCTGCTAATTTCGTATATGAAAAATGAAACTACAACTTTTTTATGCTCCTTATATGACGACTATTTTGCTATTTTATTGTTTCAAAGAATTTTTCATTATAAATTTTTCATTCTTTCCGGTAGTTTGAGTCATCACAATTAATATATAAATTTATGTTAAATTGTTTATTTTTTCCCTTTCATTTTATTTTCATATTTTCATATAATATTTTATTGTTTTATATGGTTATCATGTTTCAATGAATTAAATCGGATTTTTTTTGACAGATGAGTTAATTCTAATTAAAAAAAATTAATAAAACAGATTTAATGCATGTTTTATTTACACAGCATGAATGTCATATTTAATATCTGCTTTATGTTTTATAAATTACATGAAAAATATATTCATTTTATTTATTCATTTAATCAAATCAAAAAACTATATACTTTGATAATGTTAAATATTTTTAATATGTGTTCCATTAAATAATTCTTGTTTATTAGTGCACATATACTTAGTATGTATGTTAAGTGATTAATGTTAAATATAGCATATATGCTCCTTTGCCTTAAACCTAAAAATAGTAGCTTGTGTTCTTAACTATACGAAAATATTTTAATTTTTATTTTAATTTAAATATATAAAATCTTGTTCATATGTGCTGTTTGCTCTTTTGCTTTTGCGCTAATGTTAGTAGCTTGATAAATATATAAAATGTTCCCTGCGTATGCCTAGTTCCCCGCAGACCACTAGACTGCAAATATGTTTACTAAGATACACACTTTTGTGAGTATTTTCCATTGTAAAAGTTAAAATTGTAACATAAATATATAAATATATTCATATATATATGTAACAATATGTGAATATACATATATATACATATATATATATAATATAGAAATAGTGATATATATTATTTTCTCGGTTAGTAAGAGTTTTTAAAAACATGTAAAAATGGTGTTAGTAGCCTATGTGAAACCAATACTTAAATAAATAAATTCTTTTGATATATGTATGTAAGAATACAAATAATATATAATAAATTTCGAGGCTTATAGTAGCTCTCTTAATAAAAATTTTTGTTTAAATAGAATAAATATTTTTAAAAATTTAAATAAATCATTATTGGATTATTATCGACAACAAAAAAAACGTATTCATTAACTTAATTATATATGTATATTAGTAAAATATTGAAATAGTTTGGTTAAGTATCTAACCACTCCAAAAATATCATCGTTGAGTCAATGTGCCTGCTTGTTCGACATATATGCTTACAAAAAGGATGTCCTCATGTTAGCAGTTCTTCTAATGTCGAAAGAGAGGGCGCTGTCTAATAAAAATATATTTCTTTCTAAATTCTAATTATATTCTCTTCTACTTTTAAAAATAATTAATTAACAAGTAACCAATACAAACTTGAAAAAACTTTAACCCAATTAAATAGATAAAATTAATATGAATATAAGTGTTAAAATATAAGTATAAAATTAAGCAAATAACATAATTTTCTTTATAATCTTCATAATGAATAATAAATAATCTTTTGATTTGCATATATAAACATATATACATACATATATATATATGCATATATGTTTTTAGTGTTTAGTGTTATTTACAAAATTATGTATATATAGTTTTATATAGTAATTCTTGAGATGTAAGTTATTTCTCTCTTTTATATGAAAATGTTAGTTTTTTTATGTTAATTATCGTCTCTCGCAATTTTTATACACATTTCGGATTCTTAATTATTTTTAGCAAATTAGAAGCATTTTTGTTTTGGTGTTTTTTTTTTAAATTTGCTTTAAGCATATTACATAAAATGTTTAGTATTTAAAAAACATATTAGTTTTAAAAACATAACAAAGTTATATGATGATGTATTCATGTAAAGATAGATTGATGGTTTTATCATTAATAAATAAAAATCTCCGATTTCAGTTTTTTCTAATTTTTTTCATTTTTTTCATTTTTCTTTTTAAAATATTTATGTGTAAAAATTTATATCGTTATATAATCAACTAAGAAACTAACTACCAAAGTTGAATATTGACATAAAATACTTTTTAATATTATTTCAAAATTTCAAAAATTCAAAAATTCAAAACATCTATGGTTTACCTTAGTTCTTGGTCTGTTTGCGATATCGATTTTGTTGGAAAATTTTTTACAACAAAACTAGCAAAATAAGGAAATATATAATAAGTTTAAATTATTTAAAATTATAAATTTACATAACAAAATAGTTTTTATTAATAATTCTTTTTTTTTCTGAAATTAAAATAGAAATTCTTGTTTTGTTTTTGTTTTCACGAATTTTTTTTTTTTTCTGCATTAAAATTTACATTTAAAGACAATAACCTTATGCTGCTTCTTCCTCCTCTTCTTCACCCTTGCCTGTAAGCATTTCAATGAGGGCTTGTGTATCGATTTGGTTCTTATCATCAATGACCATTTGATCGAAGGCATCATCGACTTCCTTCATGGTGAATTTGTCACCGAAGCTCATGAGCATTTCACGGAATTTATCACCATCGATCAGACCATCATTATCGAATGTTTTGAAGGCAGCAATGACAACTTCATCTTCATCGTTGGCACCAGATTGAGCCATGCGATTGGCGAACAAGGTCAACAATTGTGTGAAATTGATTGGACCAGATCCTTCACCCAACATAGAGTCCAATTCTTTGTCGTTAGCGATCTTGCCGACGGAATCGAAGGCGGCACGCAAATCATTTTTGCCAATAATGCCATCCTTATCAGCATCCATTAGTTGGAAAGCCTATAATAAAAATAGAAAGAAAGAAGAAAATTTATTAGTTAATAATTAATAATTAAAGATAATAATAATATTGTGTAATATAATTATTTGGATTATATGGAAAGAAGAAAAATTCTATTAAACAGAACAAATTCGAATAAATAAATAAAAGAATAAATTAGAAGACAAATACAAAAAGATAAACAAAAGTTGGAACAGAAACATAGAAAGATAAATGGATAAACAAATATCTAAAATAAGAAGAGATAAAAATGATAGATAAAAAAAAACGAATGAAAACATAAACAGTTGACTTCATTATTGAATATATATAAAAGAGAATATATTTAGGTAAAGAGATTAAGAACAAACAAATGAACAAATTGATGAATACATTAATAGAAAGAGGTTTAATATAGAAACATGAAGTTATAACTGAATAGATTTATATAAAGGTATACCAAAAAATTTTAAGAAAAACTAGTAAAAAAGAGAGATTGTTAATCAGTTGAGAATATAATACCCTCTAAAGGCAATTGAATTAAATACCTACATTATATATAAACAAATACCTAGCCATAGCGGTTAAAGTGAAATATTGTATAAATTGGTGAATATATTTCTAAATATACAAAAAGATAGATAGACCTTGTAAAAAAATGCACTGCTAAAAAGTAAAAATAATAACAAAGCTGATTATTATTAGCTTATTATTATTATTATTTCATATTATTTATGATTATTAAGTTAGAACCTGATGAAGATCAATTGGATTCTCTGGGTCCTATAGATTGATTTAAAAGCATTTAAAGCTATAATAAAGTCTACAATACTTTTCAAGGGAGATTTTAAAGTTGACTGAACTTTTTTTAAAAAGGTAGGTGATTGTAAATCTTATCTTATCTATCTTATTACATTTTTAAAAACTAAGAACGTGATATTTGAAATGGTTTCAGTAGCTATTACAATGCTATGTTATCAGCTATATCATGTTATACGAATTAATTAATATTAAAATCAATACCTGTAGCTTTCATTAAACAAATAATGAAACAGATAAACAGATTCCCTTCGAATGGCCAAAAGTTAGTAGCGGCAGACATATCCACCTTAGTAGTAGACTTGTCGCCCCCAAATAACTTGTGGAACAAAATAAAGCCGTTTTGTGTGCTCAAATCTGGAATCTCTGAGTTAGATTCAAACAAATTTTTGATTAATTAAATCTTTCACTGAATATTTAAAGGGAAAGGGAAATTTTATTTAAAATATCTATAAATGTTTTATAATGTCTTGTCAATGCCTAATGCAATTCTTAAAACCTTGCTATTAGAAAAAGAATATAATCTTATTGAAGTTGGAATTCACAAAATATTTACAGTCTTTTAAAATATTTTTTTCTGCAATAGAAGAACAGATCTCACAATGGGTCACTACTAACAAAACTATAATGTATTAACAAAACCTTAAAGTTAGTTAACTTTATCTCATTTATCTAACAAATACCTTATATCTTTTAATGATGTTATATATTTTGTCATTATTTGTATTTATATACTCACTTCCTTGAATTCAGCAATTTGTTTTTGCGAGAAAACAGAGAACACACTGGAACCAGCGCGCTTTGATTTCTTTGAGCCGCGTGAGCCACCTGACGCTCTCTTTGAACCAGTTGTTGAGGCTGGTGCTGGAGTTGCAGCTGGTGCTGGGGTTGCTGCCTCAGATGCAGCTTCAGAAGCGGTTTCAGAAGCACCTCCCTCTTCCTTGGTCTTCTTCTTCTTGATCTTCTTCTTCTCATCGGCCTATTTCAAAAAAATAAATTATTTTTAATAAATTGTATATACTAAATTTAATTAGAATTCATTTGATTAAGCATATATATTGTATATCTCTTGACATATATATATCCATATAGAAATATACTATATATACTTTGTATGACTTGCATATAAGCCATGTTTTATGCATTCAACAGAAATATATTTTTATATATAGGATACTTTTAAGTTCAGGATGCAAAAGTGGATATTAAATTTAACTTATTTTTAAAAAAATATTAAATCATTTTTTGCTATACAAGAATTACTATTTAATTTATTAATAATATAAATTTATATTTTATTTCAGACTTTGTGACTTATCTTATGTACACAGGTAAGTTCAATTACTGTATATAATATAAATTTGTTTATATATAGATAATTTATTTTATACGCATTAGTTATATTTTTTAATAGCTTTTTCTTAATTGTTTCATATTGATATAATTTATTTAAAATATAAAATAAAATACTATTCGAATATAGAATAAAAATATTTCTACATTTTATATTATTCTAATATCGACGATTTGCATTAAATAAGTCAGTTCTTTGTTTTCCATATATTTTTCTTGAGCTCCATATAACTTTCTTTTTATTTTCGAATTAATAATTAAAATATAATATTTTTAATTTAATTGAAAGTAACTGAAACTAAAAAAAATGTGTTTATATATAATATATAATGTTTCTAACTATTCAAATATCTTCAGAACTGATAATACACTATTATATAAAAAATAATAAAAATATTTTTGATTAATATTTCTTCTCAACTCCTGATATAAGGGTATAAAATTGTAGATTCTTCAGAACTGATAATACACTATTATATAAAAAATAATAAAAATATTTTTGATTAATATTTCTACTCAACTCGTGATATAAGGGTATAAAATTGTAGATTCATATACTAAAATAATAACATAATAAAAAAATTTATTTTCATAATACCTAAGATAATTTTCACTGACTATATTGAAAAATTTAATTTGGGTAAACTATAGACATATGTTTTCTATTTTCTTTAATACTTATTTAATTTTCCTATAACCCATATAATTATTTTAGAATTTTGGGTCAATTAATTTAGGTTTCTTCAAAAATTGTTTGTTCTCCAAAAATATTTATGCTCCTCGGCTTTTATGATATATATATAAAAAAACATTTTGAAAAGCATTTATTACAAAATGCAATAAAAGTTTAAATAATATCTGACTCAGTCATTATAAAATTATAATGATCATTAAATATTATAATTAAGACATCAAATATTAACATTAAAATATTACACCTACAACTAAATTTCTTAATGAAATTATATTATATATTACTAATGATTGATCATCAAGAAGAAATAAACAAATATTTCTTGACTATCTCTAAATAGTCTCTTGATATTTACTATATGTGTATTATTTATTATAACCCCGCTTCAGGCACATAAAAATATTATATGTGTTATTTATCTAAATATATAGTCTTGTGTTACTTTCTCTATTGCTATTTATTATATCAAAATTAAATACTTTGTATTGGAAAAACCGGAAAAAGAATATAATCTTATAGAAGTTCGAACTCGCAAACTATCACTATCTTTCAAGCTGTTTTTTGCTCTAATAGAAGAAGCGATCTCGCAATGGATCACTACAAACAATACTATACTGAATTAACACGATACAAAAATTATAGTATTGTGTTACTTTCTCTATTGCTATTTATTATATTAAAATTAACTACTTTGTATCGAAAAAACCGTTTCTTGCGGTGATTATTCAATATATAATGAGATCATGACATTCACTAAAAGCAGACCACCTTGACGTGTATAGATAGAAAAAATGTATATAGTATAGTCATTGTAAAATAATTATGAATGTATTTAAATCCAAAAAAAAAAATATTTATATGACTTTGTATATATTTATTTTTAGTCAAGTAGTGTTTTTCAAATTTTCTATTATTATTTAAATTAAAATCGAAAATAATAAGGTTTTGTTGAAATGGAAAGAAAGTGTTTTCAAAATCTTCCATTACTATTTTGAATGGAATTGTTTAAATGGTGCTTTTAAGAAAACCTTATTATTATTATCTCAGATGAATTCATTAAAAGTGTTTGGAATAGTATTATTATTAAATTATTAGTTAATTAATAATGAAACTATTATTAATTTTAAGTGAATTTATATATTTAAATTTAAATAAATCTAATTAAATTAGTTTTAAAATTAACATTCTTAAGTAAATGTTAAAAACGTTTTATTTATCTCATTTAGATAATTTTCTACGAAAAATGAGTGAAGTTTTTATTATATTCCATGTGTGTTATATATTCAATATATTTGTATAAAAATATTTTTTTTTATATAAAACAAGTGTTTATACACAAAAGTTTTTATTAATACCTTTCCTTTTTATTATTTATTTTATGTAAAATATTTTGAAAATTTTCGTGAAAGAATTAAAAATTTGAACTGAATATATATGTGTATTTTCAGTTCTATTTTTAAAATTATTTTAGGTATATATCTGCAAGTGGGTATGTCTGTCTCTCTCTCTTTTATTCTCAACTAATTGTGTCTAGAGTTATTGAGGTATTGAGTTACTATGCCGCCGATTACTGCGCAACACATTTTCTGGCAACTATTTATGGATCGCGAAAAAAACAAACTAAATACTAAATATAGGCACAAGTATCTGAACACCCCACACAAATTTCAGCGATTCAATTAAATTAAAATTTAGCACCTTTGTCTTTAAATCTTTTAAAATTCTTTTAATGTTTTTTTTTTTCAATTATAATTTTTTTTTTTGAATGAAAAAAAAAATCTCAACACATTGCACAATGCTTAAATAAATCAATATTTAATTGAAATTATTTTTTGGCAGCATTTTATATTTTTTTTTTGGAAATATTTTTAAAACAATATATAACTCATAAGTCTTATATAACTTTTGTTTTAAATTTTCTTTAAAATTGAATTGAATAATAATATTATAAAAACTTCAAATATTTTGGCACTGAGTCACTTTAAGTTTATTTTAATATTATTCTTGGAATTTATTTCAAACATTTGCACATTTTCTTCAAACTATTTTTTTTTATATTTTTTTTTAATTTTAACAAACATAAATCCACCTTCGCATCCTTATATTCGTTTCATAGCTACTTATCCATGCATAGTGTATACTGTAGTCTGGTTAATCCTTACCATGATGCTTAACTTTTGATTCGGTGTCTATACGGATCGAGCGGTCAGAGCACACTGAGTGGTCTGGCTGATTTTATCATCAAGACAATGATGTTTTAAAAGAATTTCTTGCTGTGCAGTTTAAAAATAATACACAAATACAACTGCGTCCATATAAGCATATGGGGCATACATTTTGACTTGTACCTACAAACATATATACAAACATGTATATATAAGATATGTATATGGAATGCTGTATAGTGGTTTTATATAGTGATTCGAATCGAATAGGTCTATTTAAAAATATTGTATAGCCAGTGAGTGTACAATACAATAAATACATCTGTGGTATGGCTTCAACTTAAAAAGTTCTCCCTACTAACAACAATATCAGCACATTCCATTAGTGTCGATACATACGGTGAAAGTGTTTTTTATAAATTTTTCCCAAATTGCCGATTTGTTTTTCTTACATAAATTTTTATGTTTCTGCTACAAATCGCCTTGAACTATTTGCTACAAGTCGATATCGAGCATTATGTTGCGGACCGAATTAGAGAAACTGATAATGGCACATATGTGCCAAGGTGACAAAATTTACGGAGTTTCCTTAAAGTGTTCAGAACGCAGGCGGCATATTATCTCAAGTGTTGGGTTACTGGCAAAACTTATCCGTAATTTTAGCAGTCACACACATTTCAGTAGTCACATACACACAAATTAATGACGTGAATGATTATGCAAAAAATAGTCGTTCCCTTTGACAAATTTTTCATTGTCCAAACATTTTACCAGCTCATCGCTGTGTTGTTGATTCTACTATAGAAACTTTTTTTCATAAGTTTGGCAACTCTGCATACAGCATTTGTATTAAATAATACCTGTAAATTCTTAGACATACACATTTATATGTTTATACATATAAAAGATATAATATATAAGAGTTTTATTTCTTTCGCATCTGTATGTGTGTGTGTATCTGTGGAAATAATAAGATACTTTTGCAAGGCGTTTTGGCTATTGCAACATTAGAATATCTTACGCAGTGATAAATTAAACAAAAATCTCAATAATACGCAAGCAATACAGTCATCTTTGTATATAAAGGCCGCTTTTAGCATTTTTCAAAAACTTTTATGCGGAAAAATAGAAATTATAAACTCAAACCAAAAAAAAAAAAATATTCTAATTAAAAAAACAATTACGATAACATGCTTTTGAATGCTATTGACGTTAAAATATTTCTAATAGTGTTTAATAATGATATATGATAATTGTACTATATACTATATGTGTTAATATATTTGGTATACATAAGAACTTAATTTACTACAAGCGTTAAAAAAAACTTATTATTGAATAATATTATAGATGAATAAATAGTACATATTATTTAGTACAACATATTCCACTTATTTGACCCTAGTTGGGAGAAGAGCATAATAGAAGAAGAAGAATATTCTACTTACGAAACAGCATTTTAAATTTAATAGATTTATTTAGTTCAAATGAAGTATATTACTTCATTTAAACCTTAATACTATTAATACATAAAGTCGAACAAACTAGACATGATATCCTCAAGGACCTCAAGATTGACCCGATCAAAAAATATATAAATAATAGAGCCCTGAAATTATTGACGAAAACTGATAGCCTTATCAGCACCCCGTTATCGAATCTCAGAACAGTTACAGGCTCCTCAGTAAGGTATGCAGATTCAGATCTTCAGAGGTCAATTATTGCTTAGTCTGATGAATTGATAAACAATAATTTAATCAAAGCGTAGAGAGGGGTTATGAAGAAACCTCCCAGTAAATAGAGAGTAAAAGTGCTCAAGTGCACTGATTCAACTAGCTTCAACATATTAGACATGAATAAAAAGTTAAATTGTAAATATTTATACTACTTCCTTCAAAGTAGTCACCTTGTGATGCTACGCACTAATGACAGCATCGTATGCGGTAATAATAATAAACGCTCTTTAGAATACCTTTTTAAGTATTAGCCTCACCTAAATTTTTGATTTCAACTTTTTCCGCTTGAATAGTTTTTTTGACTTCGGAAAATGTAGATAAGGGCCATGTTATGTAGAGTGTGGCCCGTCATGGTCTCGTCAAAATTATATCTTTTAGGCTTCCACAAAAAGGCATGCCATACAGAGTATCACAGAAATTGTAATAATTTACTTGTAAAAGACACAAAAGGTGACATTTATTACTGAATACCACTGTTTTCCCTAAGTGACGAGACATAGATAGCCTCGGGTCCCATGACCAAATTTGAACGGACATATTAGATTTTCTCTCAATCTTTTAATTTGCATCGAAAACAACAACAATTTTGCTCATGACGAGCCCTTGACTATATAGATACATAATATGGCCCTTAGTCGCAATGTGCCATATTAGGTGTTTATAGTAGGTATTTATAGCATTACAGTTAAATTATGTTTCATGACAAGAATATTGGATGAGCAAAACTGTATCTGACTTTTAATTGACTTATTTACGAAATTTTATTACTATGAAAGTTGTAGTACTCCTTATTTTCTGTATAATTTTTAATTTATATAGATGATAAAAAAAAACAAACACAATGCTTTTACTCCTTATTGTCTATTTGACCAAGTGATAAAAATTTTGAATGCATCGTTCTAATAGAATCTTTTGATTCAATCGTTAATCATATATCCATTACTTATTGGCATTTATAATGCATTAGAATGAGTTCAAGATCACTGAATTCATTAAGAAATTGTTTAGCGGATTATACCAAACACAATATGTTTAATTTTACTTTCATTCATTAATATCTGTTAATTAATATATATTAATTAAAAACATATATTAATAAATATAATATGTATTAATAAAATATATATATTAATATATTAATTGAGCAAAAAAGAGACTTTGCAGATAGTTAACATATTTTTCTTAACTACAGGAACGAAATTTTCTAGTTTTTGTGAATAAATTTATATTGAATATGATGCATCAAGAGAATGAAATATAGTATTTAAGTATATTGTATGATAACCAAATCTACATAATAATTCAATTTTTAAAATGCCTATTAGGTACTATAATTATCTATTATAACAGCAAAGTAATCAGATATTACATTGAAAATTTTGCGCACTAATGAGTATTCAATATCATGGTTTATCGGTTATTAATTAAATGTTTGAACTGCATAATTATAACCGCGGTTATCTACTCGTATCATATCACCACACAAGTTAGTTCATGAATCCTATCTAAATTCGAAAAGGAACCAGTAGGCATATGTAATGTAGTTTAAATGGAATCCTACAAATATTGTATTATATATTTTATGTATTTTATATATTTTTAATTTTTATATATTTAAATAAACTTCTCAACGAACTTTCTTGACACATTCCTGCATTACATTAACATTATAAACAGATTCTAAATTCGTAATAAATTATTGGTGTGGTTAATGTTAAAAATAGTATAGAAAATGAGCAGAAAAATATGAGGAAAATATGTAAAATATATATAAATAAAAAAAATGAATAAAAATTAAATGAAACTAAGTTTCTGTGGTTAACCGCTCGTAAAACACTCCAATTGGAATCAGCAGTTTACATTAAAATAACTCATATATTATATACACATTGGTTCCATATCGGATAATTTATTCTATTATGTTTACGTACTGACTGTTTACGACTGTTGATTAGTTGGGTTGAATTATCTTTAATACTCGTCTCGTTAAGTATTGAAAATGGACCCAAATATTTTCCACTTCAGAGACCAATGGAAAATTGAAGATCTCTAAACTTCAATAATATACCAATAGTACTGCTACTTCACAATCAAAATATATAATAATATATAATATAGTGACGACATAAAATGATAACCATTTAAAAAAATTTTGCATTTATATGATAATTGAATATATGTGAATGCTTTTAACGACATTATTTCTGGGTTTTCTTTATTTAAGTTTATGAAATATCTGTTTTAAATCAACTACTTTTAACATTAAACTTAACTAATATAACCCTGAGTCATATTTGCTTCATCCACTCAACTTAAGTCTGGATTATTATGAGATCAGTAGAGCACCTATGCCGCACTGACATTTAAAAGACCTCAACGGCAAATATTTAGACCTTTATCGAAAGACGGAATGTTTTTTGTTATATTGTCTAAAAATATTGCAGTAGGAATATTGTAGTAGAAATATTAAGATTAATGAATTAAGATTAGCTCAATATTATTAGATATTTGTAGAACTTTATGTCGCTCAACGGTGTTATTTTAGAAAATAAACATTACTTAATCGATTATTAGCATAATTAAGATATAAATTGAAAAAATCACACTGCATATGAATTGAGTTGATACCAATTACTTCTCATTTTATTTCACTGATGTATGCAGTGAATGTATAACTTAATTGAAGTCTGTATTTTCGTGTACCTTACGAAGAGCAAAATCCAAAGTGACAGCTTATAGCATCAAAAAAAAAAAACTTATACAGTATTATAATTAAAAATCAGTTCTGTTTATATAGAAATTTCCGTAAGTTCACTTACGGTCTGAATGTGAAACCAATGCTATATGACAATTCATAAGATCATACTTACTATTTTTAGGTAATCAAGCAAAAATTCCTTTATTGCAAAACAGAAAATCATTTTGTTAATTAAGACTGTGTTCTTGGCACCTATGTGTTTATTATTTATTCTAAAATAAATTTATTTTTAATAAAGCTTTAATAAAACTCTCAAGAATAAAAATTTTTTACTGTTATACATTTTAAAACTCCTTTCAGCCAACATAAAAATAGTATTAAACTTAACAAGTTCTAAACGACATAAAATAGATTTTATTAAATAAATATATTTAAATCTCAATAGTTTTCTTATTTTTGCATATTTTTCTTGATATAGCTTAATAAGCTCTAAACGATGTAAAATAGATTTTATTAAATAAATATATTTAAATCTCAATAGTTTTCTTATTTTTGCATATCTGATATTATTATTAAATATTCTATGTTAATCCTTTAAGCCACCATAAAATAGTATTAAACTTAATAAGCTCTAAACGATGTAAAATAGATTTTATTAAATAAATATATT